TTTCTGAGGTTTCATCGGACATGTTCTTGGACATGTTCACATTGCCATAAAGGTCTGAAACTTGCTTTTCTTTTCTGTTTTTTATCTGAAAGCTGAGGTTCTCAGGAACCCAAGACAATACCCCATGCTATGCCTCTGAAACTGCAGCTGCAAGCATGTTTCTTTATGTTTTGTCTTAAGGCTAAGCCAAAGGTGATATGGAGAGCTTTGTGTGTTTTTCCCCTTTTCAATTTTGGAATGGGTTGGTTTCTGTCAGTGCCCATACCAGTATGGCTGGTCCCTTGGGGGGCATTTCAGGCTGGGAACATTGTACTGGGGGAAGGGTCAAATCCCATCTCCCCTTGTGCCACGGTCCTGATCCGAACTGCACCCTGACTCTTCTGTTTTCAAAGAAAGTGCTGGGCACTCCATTCACAGAACTCCAAGCATCACATCTGCTTTGGTGTCTTCTTCTGTTCTTCTTGAAGTCACTGCTTTGCTGTTGTCTCTCTTTCTTAACTCTTTATCTGCATCTTTCCTTCTGGAAGATGTGTGTGTTCCTGCTTATTGTAGCCTTGTTGGTGATGATGCTCTCCATGCTTTGTCTTTCTAGGCTGGGATAAGAGAGACCTTGCTAAGGAAAGTGTCCTCTTCCACCCCACCCCTCTGCAGGTTATTCATAGTCGCTACCAGGGCTTTTTTTGTAGAAAAAGCCCAGCAGGAACTCATTAGCATAATAGGCCACGCCCAGCAACAGAAACTCATTAACATATCCAGCCACACCCAACAGCATAGCTCATTAGCATATTAGGCCACACCTCCACGATACCAGAAGTATGGTCATCCAGCCACACCCACCTTTTGCTTCTTATTCTGTTTACCTTGTTTGTTGTCAAAACCTAAGGCTTTTTTTGTAGCAGGAACTCCTTTGCATGTTAGGCCACACACCCCTAATGTAGCCAATCCTAATGAGTTTCTGCTGTTGGGTGTGGCCTATTATGCTAATGAGTTCCTGCTGGGCGTGGCCAACTCAGGAGCCAGCTGGAACTCCGTTCCTGTGCGTTCCAGCCCAAAAATAGCCCTGGTCGCTACAATATCATTTGAGAAGCATTGTTTGGTTTCAGTGTGTATAAAGGGTAGGGACTTAATCAATGTGAGCTTATAGCCCACACAGTTCCCTGACTGTGTTTCCATCCATGGCTAGACACACTTGAAAGGAGAACATAGAAATTTGATGGTGGGACATAAGGTTTTTGAAAGACTATTTCAAGCCTTGTGTATAGCTGCTTCCCCAAATTTGATGCCGGCAGAGCTAGTGAATAAGAGAGCTTCAGAGTGTGAACTATTTTTTGTTGCTGTCCTTTGTTTCAGAAATTCTTTCATCCATGGCTACTGGGACCAAACCCTGTAGCTGGAAATCACATTTCAAAACAAATGAAGGCAGAAGTTATCAGGATCATAACCATGTTTTGCCTTAACCTGGATATCTCAGGCTAGCCTGATCTCATCAGATCTCAGAAGCTAAGCAGAGTCAGCCCTGGTTATTATTTGGATGGGAGACCACCAAGGAAGTCCAGGTTTGCTACACAAAGCCAGGCAATGGCAAAGCATCTGTCAGAATCCTGGTTAAATTAGTTCTCAACATCACTAATTTCTAAGAAAGTTTAGTTTATTGAGACGTTGAAGAATACCATACTGAACACGAGCTTTGTTAGGACTGAAGGTGAAAGC